TGCAAATGATAATAAAAGACTTAATAATAAAAGCAAAAATAAGAGTTTAGAGAGATCTTGTGCTTATAATTCTGTCTTTTGATCTTGAATCCATGTAATAAAATCTGTTGTCAGTTTTTTTTTTATTCTCTTCTGTAGAGATACTATATGATATATATCTAATAATATTATCTTCTTTAAGATAGCGTGCGAATCTAATCAACAAGACAACCCTAAGTTAAAAGAGAGGACAAATTCACGCTGATCAGTTGGCAAAGAATCAATATAATAAAAGAGAATCTTCGATAGAGAACTAAAAACACACTTCTGAAATTAAAATATAGTAAAGGTAGAGTTATAAATTTGACAAGAGAATCCCCACTTCGATGAACAGAAAACGCCATGAAACTCACAAAGAAAACTATATATAATTAGTCTTACCTGGATTAGAGATCGCGAGTACTAGATGTGGTGGATTTGATCTCTTTATAGAGCTAGCTTCTGATGGAAACTTCCTAAGGGATCGCATGATCCAATAAAATGAACTGAAATTAGTAAAGTACTAATAATTAATTAAATACGTACACTGATCAAAGTGCCGAATATAATTAGATCAATGCGATCCCTTTGGAAGTCTCCACCTGCACTAAGAATTATTATAAACTTCAAAGGAAAAACAGAAAAAAAAAAAAAAAAAAAAAAACTTTCTTCCTATTGTCACAAAAACGGCTTCTATAAGTTTCTGTAATTGATTGATGAACCAAAAATCTAGAGAGAGAGAGAGAGAGAAAGAGAGAGAGAGAGAGATTCAGTTTAGAGAGCTGAATCATGTGGTGGTGGTGCAAAAGAAAAGGGTGCTGTTTGGTTTTGGGGTTTTTGCTGGTTTTTATAAGAGAAAGAAGGGAAGAAAAGTTGGCAGTTTTTTGGAAACTGTTATGCTGTCCGGTTATAGCTATTGCTTTTGTTCACGCATTTGGTGTGATTGGAAGTTAGATAGTCCGCTTCATATGCAATTTTTTTATTATCATTTTAAACTAAAGTAGCTTTTTTACTAGCCTCGCAGTAACTTTTTCATTTATTTTTTTTTTTTTTGCTTGCCTTCATTAGTACTTAAAGCAAGTCTCCTATCACAAATCAATAATTGATAGATAGCAACTCTCTTTCTTTTGCTGTAGATAAGGGTGACATACTCTCTTTCTTTTGCTGTAGATAAGTGAACGTCACCCTTTCTTAAACTTATCTTAGGGGCTAAGGTGTAAGCTAATTATTAGCAGTTTGCAAAATAATAAGGTTGATACGTGAAAACACACGCGCGACGTTTTTAGTATAATATTTTCTCTCATAAAAATTTAAATTTCAATCAAATTTTTTTTTATTTAAATCTATGAAAAGAACACCTCCTTTACTTCTTTCTTTCTTCTTCTTCTTTAATTTTGTTTTCCATGTTTTGGTTGAAGAAAGCAAAATTAAAGCGTTTGTACTTTACAGTTCGTTTTTCTCTATGGCTACAGCTAATTTTTTGACTAAATTTTTAGAATAGTTAAGAATATTGTTTTTTTCTCATCAGCAGTTAAAAAGAAAAAAAATCCGTTGAAATAAGAACCTTTTTTTTTTTTTTTTCTTTTTCCTTTTTTTTTCCTTTGCTAGAAGATCTAGCTACCTTCTTAATTCTTATTCATATTATAGCCGCAAATGGACTATGGAGGAACAGAAATAGTTTTTCTTAGCTAATATCATGCGGATTTCTAGTACCATATATTTCTAGCACAGTACTTGTACAGTAAAAACGCATGAATGATTGAAACTCATGAACCACTATGCGCACAGATTACTTGTTGATACAACAAGTATACAAATAAAAACAATAGAACCCCTCTTGTGTTGCCGTGTCTTGAATTATTCTCGTTTGATGTCTTCTATTCAATTGTGTCTATTGTCTTTTCCTTTTTTTTTTTTTCATTTTTTTTTCCTGAGGTTGGGAGGAAGGAGGGGTCCTTGTCTTGTTGGAAAATTTAAAGAGATCGGTTTTGGGTTTGTACCACCATAGTTGTATAATTTACCGTGTTATTACAAACAATATAGAGGAAAACTTGATTGACGTATGTCACACTATAATTACTCATAGCAATTAAAGGAAAAATATACTGGGGTAAACATTTGGAAAGCGTCTTTTCCCAATTCTAGATTCGATCAACGATCTACTTCGTTTTAAGATTCGTCTAAACTAACATCATGATATTTCATGAACATGATCTTCATATTTCATATCACGATTTTCCATGAACAAGATCATAGTCACGAGCTTAGTTGCTCATGGTATATATGGCTGTTACAAAAATAAGACTCGAATACCCACGAAAATCCACAACTCAAAAACCCTATATATCTAAGAATTGTAGAGAGAAAGACCCTTTTAGTGATTTGATCATACTTTCGTTTTATCGATATAAATATACTAATAAATTAAATTTAAATAGCGAAGTGAACTTAAGCACGTTCAAATTAAGTACTTAAATTTCACCATGTTTTTTTTATAAACAATATAGAGGAAAACTTTTTGTTTTGCTCTGAATATAAAGGAAAAACTTGATCGCTATATGTCACACTATAATTACTGTAACAAATTAATGGCCCAATTTCACATTATAATTGAAACATGTCATGCCCTACTTGCATTTAATATGTTCAATCACTAACCAACTATATGTTATTCATCATGGGAACCGACGCGATAACAAATACTTGCATGGTGTTCTGAGGTGGGTGCAAGTTGCAATCACACAGCTATTTTTGCTGGTAAGAAACTCAGCACTTATTCTGCACTCGATAATGACATGTACCACCATCTCTTTTTCTTTACTATACTTTCATCCTTAATTTTTAATTAGTTAGATATACATATATATAATTATCTATACGTACGGTCCGGATTAATTAAGATGTTGCTCTTGGTTAATTAACCATATCAGACCACATGTTAGTGCTAATTGAATTCAAATTATTTGTTTAATTAGATAGAGGTGGATCAAGTATATACCAATCTCATGAAAATACGTACAGAATTATAATACTGTATTACACAGACATAATAAACAGATAGATATGTAGATAACAAGTTTAATTTGTCTACGCTTTGAGAAATCAACATTTGTGGAATTTACGGGTGATAAGTACTACTACTTAAAATTGATTTTTTCTTTCACTTTAATAAACAATATCAATATCAATCAATTATTAGTTTTAACTAGTCTATTTGATTTATACAAGTAGTACTGCTGAGCAGTTTTGTCACGATCATTGAGAAACAAATTATTATTGAGAGACAAATTATTTTTGAGAGAGATAACGAAAGAGAGATTATTTCATCACGAGGAAACAATAGAAACATATATAGTAGTAGCTCTAAAACCCAATCAAAATCCACTTTCCATACCATAAAGTGCCGGGAAAAGCCAAAGGATCTGGAGCCATGTGTCTGTTTGAGAACGATGTAACATGCAATATTAATGGCTTTTCCATTTTCCATTCAATATACAAACAGGTAAACATCCAATATCATAATGTTTGCGGTCCATTATACTGTTTATGATAAAAAAAACAAAAAAAAACAAAAAAAAAAACAATTGGAGTTCGGTAATTGGCATTTCGGAAAATCTGAAACGGACACACACTCGACTGTTTGTCGCCCAAAATCAATGCATCATGGTCATATTACTGTCTATCTTATCATCAAAACACCCACTAGTGACTAGTCATGAGTGAACTTATACTACTCTACAAATACTAAAATAAAAAACCATTGAAGCAAAACCATTTGGCGCTCTTCTAAAACTCCTTATGATAGGCAATAGAATACAAGGCAGGAACTTGTGTGTTACTGTTACGCAGGATCTTTAAAACTATAAAAAAACAATTGTGATATCTTGTGTAGATTTGAACTATTATGATTTTGTCTTGTTTCTATTACTATTTGTCAATTGAAAATTTGTGTTTTTTAAGTGTCCCAATTGAGATAAATTTTTGGATCCGTCATTTCTCTCTTTAACGTGTTTCATAACTTAATAAGATTGTAATAGTTCATAAAGCTTTTAGCTTTCGAAACTTTCAAGGATCCGTCATTTCTCTCTCTAATGTGTTTCATGACTTAATAAGATTGTAATAGTTCATAAAGCTTTTAGCTTTTGAAATTTTCAATAAAGGAATTTATCTTTTCATACTTTGGATTTTAAATTTATTCAGAAAATATACCTTTAGTTTTTCATCTCATAAAAAATATATCTTTAAATTTTATTTAATATACAAATTCATATCTTATACCAGTCAACATTTGATTTTGACCTAAAAAATTATCAAAGTACCCTTAAAAATAACAAATAAAACTCTTAAAAACTTTCTAAAAGATGAATATTAGAAGAGGGAAAAACCATTTTTTGAAGATTTTCTATTTTCATATATTTTTTGAAGAGTTTTTTTTTAATTTTTTGTTGTATTTAAGTGTACTTAGGACATTTTTAGGTCAAAATTACGTGTTGACTAGTAAAATGTATGAATTTATATATTAAATGGAATCTGACAGTATACTTTTAATAAAATCAAAAATTAAAAGTATACTATTTGAATAAACTTAAAATGCAAGGTATAAAAAGATAAATAACCCTTCAATAAATTTGCAAGTTGCTGAATGCTGAACTTTTAATTTTAATGAAATTATTAATCATACTTAGGTCTAATATGTTGCAAAGAGCCCAATTAACTCATGAAAATAAATTACTAAATCGTAAAAATTTTAGGGTCAATTATCTTCAGGAAAAAAAGGGGTCAAAAGTGTCAAATAACTTTTTTTTGTTTTTTAAAAAAAGGAAAATAAATGTTAAAAAGTAGAACATGTTTTGGATTTCGAAAGGAATCGAACCTGTGACTGGCCATCCATGTAGAGAACATTTGCTTAACCACTGAGCTATAAGCACTTAAAAGCCCTGATGTACTCCATAACAAATAATTATAGGAGTTGTGCCCTAGAAACAAGTTCCGCTTCACTTCCCGCCTCCGCCTCTCTGAAGATTCTCAAACACAGAGAGTTTATTGCAAGAAGAAACGACACAGAGAGTACAACCATGGCGACGCCGTACGGCATCAAATTCGCCGTCCATCTCATCACCTCTCACTTCGGCAATCTCGTCGCTGTAAACTTCCTCTGTTTCCCTCTTCCTTTAGTCCTTCTTTTGCCTCAAATATGCTTCCATGGTTTTACCTTTGATTGATATATATGTGATGCTATTTTCAATTCATTCGGATAATGATTGTATATATTCATGTATGTATATATATATATATATATGCGCAGAATGTTTGCGAGAATCTTCTGAGAAAAGGTCCATTGACGCTCCAACAGTTGATTCGTTTCACGGAGCTCACTCCTCTGCAAATCAAGAACTCTCTCCTAATCCTCATTCAGCACAACTGTGTTCAACCTTTCTCCTCGGAACAAATCGGTATTGAAATTGTTACACAACGAACAAGAATTTTTTTTTTAATTAATTTGATCATTTAATTCTTGCTGTTTTCTTTCAATTTCTGTACTTTTGGAGTTTGCTGCAGATTCTGTTTATGAAATTTGTTAATGGTTGCTTAATTTTCCTGTGAAGTTGTATTTCTTTTATGATATTCCCAATTCATCAGCTTTTGCTTGAGTTTTGACAATTTCCGATTTGATTTTCTGAACCAATCTAATAAAGGGTAAGCAATTAGTTTTATTTAAAGTTCAAGTGTTGTATTATCGTTTTCTGATATTCTCTTTAACTAAAATAAAATGCTCGTCAAGTGTCTGTCATGGATTTTTGTCTACACAGGTGCTGGTGGAAATGAAGTAAAAGTTACCCAGTACTTAGTGTTGTTTGATAACATACTCCATCGCTTGAGGTTTCCCAAATTCTTGGAAATCGTATCCGAGGAACTTGATAAAAATGTTAGTTCTTTCTCTTTTTTATTTTTTTATTTTTATGTTTTGATGTTTGACTCTGGATTAATGTAATTGCTTATTGGTGTCTGTAGTGTGGAGAAATTCTTGAAGGTTTGCTTCAGCATGGAAGGCTTACACTTGAACAAATATATGAAAGAGCAAGTGAAGGCAAGTCTGTTGTTGTGCCTACTGAATTATGTTTCTTGTCTGGGGAATATCCGAATTTCTATTAATTACTTAATTTACAAACCTTCTTTAGGAGATAATGCTGTTCAGGATGCTGTGCGAGAAAGCTTTCAGAAACTTCTGAATTCCCGATTTGTTGAACGTTGCCCGGCCCCTGAACCATTTGTTGAACCATCAACTATAAAAAGTTCAAATAAGAGAGGTGCTAAGTCTGCTAAGGTAATTTGAGTTGTGTTAAAGTTGTGAGAGTGAACGTGGTTATAGTTTGCTGTGTCATTAAATTTAACGTATTAGTATGTCACTTTTTATATGCCCTTCCTGGTACGTATCGTGAAACATATTCTGAATTATCAATGAACTTGCAATGTTTTAAATATGCCTGTCTAAAAGGGGGAGTTTATAAAATTGTCTCTTGTTCCGCTTTTTAGTTAGATGAAGTCTCGGAGACTGAAGAGCAACGTGTTTTAGCAGCTGCAGCATCTCTCGACACTTTAAGGTTCTCAATTTTGACGCCTTCTGGAACTGAATTTGATGAAGATAAAAAAGATGGGGACAGTTCCTCAAGTATGGGTGTCGGAGAGAAGGTTTGGCATTAATCACAGATTGTCGTTTCAATATACCAGGTTTACTCTATGCTAATGTGAGATTTTTTATTTACAGCGGAAGCATGGTGCAGCAGATTCGGATGATGCATTTGGCTCCAACGAAAATGAAGTAATTCTCTGGCGAGCCAATTTTGAGGAATTTACTCGGTATCTAAGGCACAAGGTTGACTTTACTGCACGATTTTCTGTTTGATTTACATTTCTGCACTCATTCAAATGAAAACTTATAATCATGCCACTCTAGCATTTTAATTAGTGATTATCATGATAACAATTAAGTTGTATATCAGAGGAACAAAATTCCCTCGTTTGATGATTTGCTTCAGCATATCTTGATTGAAAATTGAAACAATGCGATGATGACATTTTGTCCATGTTTTCTAGGCTTGCATTGAGAATGTTAGAGCGCGGCTGGATGTTGGAGCTGCAACTGTCTTAAAAGCAATGTTAGATGCAACTAGGAGTGCAGAGAAGAAAGTGAAAACTGAAAATTCAGGTATATAAAAGATTCCGATGACTACTTGAGGAATTTGGTTGTTTGCAGTGCAATTATTGTGGACCAAAAAGAATATAATCCAAGAGATGCTGGTGTTTTGCCGTTATACGTTTCGTGAAAAAAATTTGGCTTCTTGCTGTGGAAAGAAAAAAGGAAAAGAAAATGCATGATTGTTGCCTTTTTGCAGTTTCCCTCTCAATGGATACTATTTTTGAAGAGGTGATGAAAAGTGAAGCTGGTCGTAGTTTGACTTTGGATCGTGTCAGAGCTTCCCTTGTTCAGCTTGGTTGTTCATCCTCTGGGACTGATGATACATACAGTATCGGTAAAATTTGTCATTAGATATCTGTTAGCAGAACAACTTTGCTTTTCCGTTTCTCCATCTTTCTCTGAAATTGAGTTCCCCCCCACCTCCTCTCTCTTTTCTTTCTTTTAACTTCTGCTGAACCAAAATTTCTTATGCAGACTTGAAGCAAATAATTGAATTAGCCCAGAAGGAAGAGGTTTGTCCCATTGGTGTTCCTTCTGTTTTTTTAGTTATGAGATTATTTCATTCGCCGGTACAGAATTTTATTCACAGTTCCTAAGCTGCAGGTGGAATCGATTGTCTTGAGAAGATATGGGAGAGATGCTTACAGAATGTTCAGGTTACTGTCAAAGGCTGGTCTGCTGCAAGAAACAGATAAGGTATTAAATTTGCTTTGGATTCTGTTGCGTGCAACTGCCTACTCGGAATCAACTTTTGTGACAAAATGTTAACCACTATTCCTGGGACTTCTTGGCATCTGTACAAAAAAGGAATTAAATTTGTCTACTTTTTTTTTTTTTTTGGTCTCTTTCTAGATTGCGGATATGACATTTGTTGAAAAGAAGGAAGCGCCCAAGATCCTTGGTAAGCTATGGAAGGATGAGTACTTGCATATGGAGGTAGAGTACTTCAACCTTCTTATAAAATTCACACTCAGCTCAAATATGGCAATATGTGATGTCGTCGACAAGCCCAGGTTAACGTTGTCTGGGATGTCAGATCTTGTTTTAATGGATCAAAATAAAGAGATAGTTAATGTGTGAAATGAGAAAGCTCGCGTCAACTTTAAGTTGGTTTCTTTAACTTCATTTTCCCTCTGTCTGCATCAGCGTCCCCTTGAAATTTACAGCCATAGTCGTTTAGGTTACCAAATAAATTTCAATAAAGACTTTTGGCTTTTGTTGGTTGGTTGGTTGTTGTTGTTGTATTTTTATATGACATTGCTTTATCGCCTTTGCAGAAATTTGTTGTGGATAGAAATACAACCTTCTACTTGTGGAAAGTGAATAAACCTATTCTGTGGCAACATGTTCTGGATGAGATGTACCATGCAGCCTTGAATTTGAGCCTACGAGTGATTCACGAGCTGGACCAGAAGAAAGAGGTCTGCAAAACAAGGGGTTTTCGCCCTTCTTTACTTTTCCCTTGCAACTTCATATGTTGTTTTTCTGTTGTCCAAATACTTCTCTTTTAAAAAAAAAATAAAAATGCACCTCTTAAACTGATATCATCGTTCATCCTACATTTCTGCACTCTTTTCAGCTATTAACTATACCGCCAGAGAAACGTACGGGGCCCCTAGAGAAAGAATTCAAACGGCTAAAAAACGCGAAGTTTTTCCTGGAATCATCACTTATGAAACTTGATGACGCTCTTATGCTCTTCCGTCACTTCTGATTGTGTAAGCCCCGTCCATATAACATTACTATTACAATTTTTTTCATGTACAATGTGTTCGCTGTTCTCCTCCTTAATTTAACGTACCATTACTCATATTCTAAGACGCTTTTTCACCCAAATAGCTCGGCTAAGATTGTGTCTTTGTTGGAAACTGTTACATTTGCCTGTCTATGTTGGTTTAGGAGGTTTCTTCTGGTCTCTGAAGATTTTACTTAAAATTTGTTGTACGACAAAACAACCAGCGAGGCAAGAAAGAGAAAGATTTGTGCTTGATTTTACTTGCAATTCGCTTGCAAGAATGACTGAATTCCTGTGGTGTTCTCGGTATCTCCATTCAGATAAGGTTTGGTGCAGCACCTTCACACCGTTGATGGATTTTTATTTAATCTGTAGTGGGCCTCGGTTTCTCAGAAACATGGGAATTGGTTGATTTTATATATATATATATTTCAGTTTTATATTTTGTTCATTTTTTACTTCTTATTTAACAACTTTGAGAAAAATCTCATCGAATTTATTTGGTATAATATTATTAATAGTTGAAGAACGATGTTAGTTGATTATGTTATTCAAGTCTTCAAGCACAAAAAGAAAAGCCACTGTTTTATTGAAAACCAAATTCAATTACGAATTTAAATGTGCGTCTATGGTGTCACAGGTATTCAAATGAGCAATATATATATATATATATATATATATATATATATTCAGTTCTTTGTTCTTGGTTAGGGTAAAAGATTGTTCAGTAAGAAGGAAAGAAAATAGGAGGGAAAAGAGTAATACAATGTGTAAGGAAGAGAGAGAGAGAAAGAGCGAGGGCCTTTACTCTACGTTTGGGGTTTTTTTTTTTTTTTTGTTTCTCTCTCACGGATTTACAATCTCTTGTTCAATCTAGTCTCGTCTTTCTCTCTTATAAAGCAGCTGTAATTTCCAAATTCTTTTACTAGTCCTCTCACATCTCCCTCCTATTTTTTTCCCCCACCAAACAAGCTCTAATTAATCAAGTGACACCCAACTCATCACACTTTCACGCATTTTGCTAGTGTGCAGACACCCATTTGCCACTATTGGCCTCTAAAAGCATTGAAACGGGTGGTAACTTTGATATTCAATATGAAGAATTAAGAACAGTGCTTAAGGTTGCGTTTGGTATGAGGATTTATATCAGAGTGATTTTAGTTTTAAATTAAAACCATGATTTATAGTTTGAACTTGAGATCTAAACCATAGTTCTGAAACCGAAATTAAAACTAGAGGTTTGAACCATCCAAAATGAAGAGGGATGTGGTTTTATTTTTTTTAGAGTGGTTCTAGTTTAAAACATCACAACATCAAGATTCAAATCTTGAACTAAAACCATTCAAACCAAATATTGATTTTCAAGAACTATTTTTTACTTTTTGTAAACAAACAAAAATTTGAACCGGAATCATAGTTCTAGTTCTAGAACCCTGGTACCAAATGTTATCTAAATTTTTAGGAAGAGAAAAGACACCAGAGGCTCAAATGGCAAAAGTATGCTATATATATCACCAAATCTTTACGAAGTGAAACGTGCAAAAAAGAGTGCTCGAGTAGCAGAGCTGTTCTTTCATCAAAACTGTTTTGCTTCAAAAGTGTCGTCATTGTCATTTCACAAGAAAAAGTGTTAATTGTTGACGGATGCCTCCATGATCCTTACTTCTTTGTGGCTGCTACGAAATGCCTTTTTTGTCACACCATTGTAAACTGGTTTATTGCCTCCAAATGTTATGAAATTCCAACCAGAAACTGACCCACCAATTATGTAGCTTCCTGCTAGCCGGCTGCTGCTACCCGTGGGGGCCTTCTTCTTCTCCGAGCTGAAATCAGTCTTCAAAAAACCGTCTTCTATCTCTTTCTGCACAAAATGCATTCGCTGACTCAACTTCTGACGTTTGTTTTCTAATATAGGCATACTTCCCGGTCTCGCGCTGCAGTATTCCGGCAAAGCCTTCCCTGCCGGCTTGTTTAACTCCAATATCATCTGCTTGTACAAATCCATCAGAAGCTCTACATCTGCAAATCACATCACATTTCACATGTTTTAGTTATTAAAAACAGGCTTCTCCAGACAATTCTTTGAAAAGTTTCGAATTGACCAAAAACAGTGAATTCGAAACGTCCGACATCTCTGCAGGTATATTTCTTTATTAAGATTCATATCCTATCCCAATTTAGTCTTTCTTTTCATGCTAAGAAGAATCAACATGGAAAAGCATGAAGACAGAGAGAGAGAGAGAGATAGAGAAGGCAAAAATACAGAGAACTTTCATCTAGTTAAAGAACTCACCTTTCCGAATTTCATGACTCGCTTTACAAGTCCGAAACTCAGGAGTCCCAAGAACCTGAAAACATCAAAAAAAAAAAAAAAAGGAGATGCAAGATTCAGCAACGGAATTTCATAAAAAAAAAATAATAATAAAAAAAAATAAGGTGGGGGATTATTGAAACAAGACGATAGATTTAAGAGACAAGTTATTGAATATTCATAGGACAGTAAAGAAAACATAAGGGCAACGAAATGAAAAGGTAATGAAGTAAGATTATAGAAGTGCCTGGAGAAGATGAAGGCGAAGTTGTTGAAGGAGAGCGCGAACTTTGAAGGAAGAGGAACTTTGGACCTCCATATCTTCGAAAAGCTCTTCTTTCTTGCGCTGTGGGGAACCACGAATGGGTTGGGGATGGCAGGTTTTGTAGTACATACTTCTAGGCTTGGGCCACCATTTTCAAATGGGCCCTTTTGGTTTCGCCTAGGTCTGGAACCCATCTCTGTTAAATGGGCCTAACATTCAATTAAATCTTGGGTTTTTAGACACGTCAAATTTTCGAGCTAATTTCACGGAGAGAAATAGGTCAAGACTTGAGATGAATTAAAATTAATAAGCTAATAGTTTACATAAGTTAATAAATAGGTTAAATTACTGTTTTCATCCATAACTAGTCTGATTATGAACCATAACTTGACAAGTTATTATCCATAACTTGTCTCGCTATGAACCATAACTTGACAAGTTTATCCATAACTTATCTGGTTATGAACCATAACTTAATAAGTTATGGCCTATTAATTTCTATAACTAAAAATTGGCCTATATACTTTCTTAAACTTTTCATATTAGCCTATTTTCTACTATTTCCTTTTCACATATGCACACGCTTAATCACCAAAAAAAAAAGATAAAATTACATATATGCAGAAGAGATAACGATATTATTTAAAAAGAAAAAAAAGGGGGAAAAAGTATATAACGTATCCATTAGTAAATAATGTTTTAAAAAATGAATTTGGAATTGTAAAGAATCAGGAAATCATCTTTAATTTCTATTTAAAAACAAAAAAACAAAAGCTTTTAAAAAAGTGTGTCAAATGTAAACGAGTACAATATTAGGCCTGTAAGTCGGTCGGGGTGGGTTGGTTTTGAAAAAAAAATTGGGCCAGCCCACAGGTCTCGGGTTGGGGATGATTTAGGCGGCAACAACTTGTAGAATGAGGATACTCGTATACCATTCAGGTATCTCGGGTAATCTCAGGTCGGCCGGGTTACCTAGGGTAAACTATGAGTTTTTTTGTTAAAAAAACCCCTTTTTAACTTATTTTTATTACTTACCTCATCTAAGACTCAATTTTTACACTATCCTGAACAAGAATTAAGAATAAACATGAATTATCTAAAGACTCAACCCTTTATGTTGTGTTTGAAAGATTTTTAAACTTATTATCATTAGGGTTGGGCATTGTTTTACCTACTTTTTGAACATGTTCGGCCGGGTAGGGGTACCTCGGGTTCATGGAACCCCACCCCGCAACCCTACCAGTACAGTGCAGGTTGGGCATAATTAAAACTGAAAATTAAATAAAAAATTGAAAACTCGTGATTTTCGAGTAGGGTCGGCTCGGCTCGGCCGGGTTCATCGGGTTCGAGGTGATTTCTTACAGCCCTATATGATATCTACAAATTAAAGGAAGATATAACACCCCACATTTTTATTAATACACCCCATTTTAAAAAATAAAGAGCATGTTCTTTTAGAGTGTAACTTGAGTGTAGTTTTTGAGTTGAATTTGAGTTATAACTTAAGTTAAAGTTGTAACTTGAATAAAGTTGAGTAAAGTTGAATAAAGTTGGAACTTAAAAGAACATGAACTTGAATAACGTTAGAACTCGAGGTATCTTTTTTGAGTTTTTTAAACAAAAGAACAGGCCCAAAGATTTTTATTACAGTTAAAACCTTTCATATGACTGTATTCCACATAAAATATCTTTGTTTTTCTATATTGAAATCTGTTTTCTTAACTTTCTTCTGCGGAAAAAAAAAAAATCTTTTTAAGTCTTGTGTGGGTCTTCTCGTGTAGTTATTCTCTTTCCTTTTGGGGTGGGTCTTGGGTTTCTGAGTTGGTGTTGGTAACTGGTAAACTTCTTGCCTTATGGTGGTGTTTTTTTTTTTTTTTTCCCCTTCTTCTTCTTCTTACGATAGAAATGTGCTTCGGGATTTTATCAAAAAATAATAATTTTGGACTATTATTAAGCAATATCATAGAAAAACTTGAGACACGCTGATCTAGATGTCTCATTTTGAATACTTGAACAAATATAGAACAATAGAAGTGTGAAAGGGAGAGTAATCGGAAAGAGAAAAAAAATTGAATTTTGGTGCTGACTATTGGAAAAGGATGAATGATGAATGATGAAGATTGAGCCATTGAGGAAGATTCTAGAGTTTTTGGGCGTGGGGTGTGTTCGCCAAAAATCCTATGTATGGAAATGACTCTACGCATGTGCACGTAATCAAATAAGTAATACAGTAGTGAGTGAAAAGTATCGTCTTTACAGGGATTGAGTTAATAAGAAATTGATTACAAAAACCAGTTGTACTAAAATTAATCGAGAGTGAATCGAGTACCAAATTGATGAGGATTAAGTAAAATGAATAAGTAAAGTGAATGGGTGTGATTAACAAACAAGAGGCAAGACTTAACAAGATCTAAGTTACAAGCTGTGAATCAATGATGGGTAAAGGCTAGAATTATTGATTTTCCCTCGGTTGCAACTCTGACCACGTTTGCTATAGGATTGATGTAGCACAATTAATCTAGTCAACCTAAAATTCTACATATTCCTTTTCCGACAGATCTATGCCTATAGTTCCTTAAATCAAAATCAACATATTCCTATGCATTTTAGTTTTCAAAACTTGAAGTTAAACACCAATTTTAATGGGTCTACAAGGCAATAAAATATTTTCATACTATCCCCTTATATTATTCAAGATAGATCTAACTAAAACTAACATTTTCAGAATTAATTTTAGTTTATATTTTCCACTAAGTGATGGCCTGTCAATTAACAAAAATTGGACAATAAACACACTTGAATAAACATGATGAAAATTACACAAAAAATTAAAATAACAAATAGATCTTCATTGCAACTTTGGTTCCATCAATAATTCTAGCTAAAGAAATTTAGCTCATGTTTAGTTCAAAGAAATTAGAAATAATATCAACAACCAGATCCATTTGTTCACAGAAAGAAAATAAAGACAAAAGGAAGGAAATGGTTAAGCTAAAATCTGAAGGCTAAATAGGTATGCGTCCTTGCTTCCTCGTGTCCAGCCGTGCTATACTACTTCCTTCAGCTCTAAAAATTAGCTCTCCAAATTCCTCCTGTACTCTCATTTTTTCTCTCTTCTCAGCTTGTACAGAGAATTTTGTGCGCCTCCTCTCACACGTCTATTCGTACAGTACTATTTTCCTTTTATACTAGGGCAAGTTGAGGTGCCCTAGTTACACTCGTCCACCCTCAGAATCAACATTGATGGACACCTTTTAGTGTTCTTACAATTGTCCTCTCCTGACAAAATCAGCAAGTGGTCCACTACTGACTGTAAAGGAAAACTATGCCAGCTTGCACATTTTGGCTGTATCTGCTTTGCTGCAGTTTTGCTGTAGCATCGGGTGAATTCCTATTTTCATTTCTTTTGCCGTGCTTTTTCAACATGCTTTCACCAAAGCTGCCCTTGGACTTCCTGCACGATACACCTAGAGTCAACACAATTTCATTGAATATGAGGACTAAATCCATGATATGACGAGATTGTTCCACAAATATCAACCTTTTACCAACTAAATAAAAACTAACTAATGTTATGCGAAATACTAACACTAAGGCATTTTACCTTGAGAAATAAACAACTACTAAGCCTAAAAGTATGCTAAATAACTCTATTTCATCGAGTTATCGGGGTGTATCAAAAGAAGCGTGAAAAATCGTGGAAGTAGGGTGTATCTTTCGTTTATTTTTTAGATTGTCCATTTTAATCATTTTACTAATTAAGGAGTGTATTCATAGAGCCAATTTAGTTCGCTGATTCAAATTTTTAGTTTTAGTTGAGATGTAACTTTATGTGAGAATTTTTTATTGTAGCAAAAAAATTAGATTTGACTATTTGTGAGAGCTTTTTACAGTAGCAAAACTCGAATTCTAAACTCGAATCGGTGAAATAAACGAAACCATAGTTTACTGGGGTGTGAATATAATTTCTCTCAAATTAATTGTGCATTAGTTGTCGTATATATTTATTTTGTCAACTATCCACTTTATTAGTGACGTTTAATTCATATCATATAATTAAAAAGAATGATACCTTCGTATATAAGGGTAACCACTGAAACCACTTGTATTTTTTAATATGTGTGTAATGAATATTAAAAACAATTACGTTCTATTTTAATGGCAATCACATTATATAATGAATATTAAGATTAACTGCAATCTATTTTAAAGATAAAGGGACCTCGTTCATTTTGATGATTCGAGTTTTTAATTTAAGTTGAGATGTGACATTTTTTTAGAGCTTTTTACTGTAGAAACCTAAAATTAAAAACTCGAATCAGTGAAATGAACGAGACATATTTTTTAAAAACTATTTATTGGGTCCCATTCAATTAAAAAAATTATAACAGTAACATAAGACAAAGAAATTAGTGATTTCGTGTTTTGTTTGTGTTCTAAAAAAAATAATAATTAAGGCTGTACATAGATTGGATTGGTGCGGAGTATGACTCTTTTTGTCGCGTCTCAAAGGGTGCAGGTTGCACATATTTGACCTCAACGATGTTAGAAAAATTTCACAACCCAATGATGTTTGGGTTGGGTTGGGGCGAAGCGAGGTGGGTTGAGTGGTCGGGTTCATCATTTAAAGAATCAAAGTTTAATCTAACATTTAAAGTTTATCATCAAATAGAAATAATAACTCCAACATTCAAAGTTCATCATCAAATAATACTTATCATCAAATAAAAATAATATTGATAATTAAACATAAGTCTAACATTCAAAGTTCATCATCAAATAGAAATAATATTGATTAATCCATCATCAAATAGATAGCAATTCAAAGTTCAATCTAACATTAAATATGAAGTAAAGTAATCCATCCAACATAAAACATAAAACAAATATAAATTAGATGTGTAATTCAAATTCATCTAAAGTAAGTGTTGTAACAATAATCATCTTTATCAGTCCACACTCATAGATTCATTATCAACTATGTTTGTACGAGTTGAGTTGAGATATGCTGATTATTATAAGTTCAATCCACAAACCGTCTCAAACACCTCAAATTAAGCATTTAATGGGTCAAAAAATAAAAAATAAAATTATAAATTGTTTTTTTAAACTTGAATTAAAGTAGGTGG